GCCATATTTGAGCCTCTCACTGTTGGTGTGGTGCAGGTTCCACCACACACACAGACACACACACACATACACACACCTTTGCACATCATCACACACATACACACACCCGCACACACACACATACTGTCTCATACAGTATATTTACACATTTATATATATCAGATCAAGCATGACGAAAGCAGGTCTTAAGTTCAGCACTATTGTACAAAGTATCCAAAGTGTAATAAGGGTATAAAATGTAAGTTTCTGTGTCTTCTTCATTACTATAGAGTGTGTTCTAAAGGCCAGCATCAAAGATACAAGAGTCCTGTTTGGACTAACAGGCCCTGAAAAAAAAGCATGAGAAGGTGCCTACTGCACAGCAGACCCGCCGGTGTCAGTGATAGCAGCTGCGTTTTGTCAAAGGGAACATTTACTGAACTAGCACTGATCTGATTACTTCATTTTGGGAGTACCAGTGGGGCTTGGTAAGCAGCGGAGCAGAATTACTGAACACCACTCAACTTCCTGTTAATTGTTTTTAAACTGGGGAATATTCCCGGTTTCATCTTGTGGCTTTTTTTTTTTGCTTTTTTTTTAAATTTTCTGTCTGATATTTGAATAACGGAAAACTGCTACCTTCTCGAACCAGGGATCTGAACTGTCGGATGAATTTGAGAGTTATTTATTTCCTCTCTCTCTCTAGAAGTAAACAGTGTCTTTGAGTTTTTCGTTGACAGGTCGAGTTATCAGGGAATCCTCTGTATCCACATCTCACTCATGGGGTCAAAGAAACTGTGTGGAAACCTACCGTTTTATTGATGCACCACTATAGTTGATGTACATTGTATCCTCTGGCCTTGAATGTTTATTGATGTGGTGGGGGTTCGCGGGTGGGGTGGGGCGGGGGTAACAGTGGGGAAAAAACCGAAACTGTATGCATGTCTGTTGTGTTTTGCGGAGCAAATGAGGGGGTGGTTCATTATCTATCGTGTAGTCTGCGGGAGGGTAAAGCTGAACTCACGGCATTGAAACATTGAAGCGCTTTTTAAAAATGAAAAAAAAAAAAAGGGACATTTGAATTTTTTTTATCGCTGATACTAACTGATGTGTTGTTGAGTTTTGTGCTAGAGTGGGGCAGTGGCAGGCAGGCGGGTGGGTGGGGCTAGATAATATTAGTGGACTGTTTATATGGTTACTGTACTTACCTATTCTATTCTTTGTATTATGATTTGTAATTTTATGTTGCTTTTTTTGAACTGAGAATATGATGTAATGAAATTAATTCATGGGACTGAATCTTGACCTTTTTATGGACAACAAAATAAAATCACTTATTTACAAAAAGATACAATTGGTAGGGTTGATTTTAGACAGTCATTGCATTTTTCCAAAGTCAATAAGTTAATAGGTTGGAGTACAAGACCTGAGAGGCAGCGTTTGAAAAATTACAGTACATATTGACATAAAGATTTGAAAGACATGTAGAGCTTTAAATAAAAATAGAATGTAATATAATTTAAATTGCATTTACACTTTATCTAAAACTTATGTACCTAAATATAGTTTGACACATATAAGGTACTGTGCAAGAGTCTCGAGCTGTCCCTCAGTTCTTTATATTTTGCTTCCAAGCAGCCAGACTCTCATTTAACCTTTTCTTGAGAAATAATTCTCCAGGCTTTCTCAAAGTCTTTGGACGTTTTCAGTCTGGCCCTTGTCCCTGGCCATTTTCAATTTGTTCTTATCTCTAAGAAAATGCCAACAATAACACAGTTTAACTAGCATAAAATAGTTTTTTGGGGGGTACAAGGTGATTCTCAAAGAACTATTAGCCAAAAATCACAGCATATCTCTGCATGGTGTGCAGTGTGCTTTTAAAGATTTGTAGGAAACTGACAAGTGTCAGGCCTAAAAAAAAACCTATTGATGAACAGTTGAAACTCTTCCCTTAATAAACAGCAGAGAGCTGACCTGGACCTGATCAGAAATGGTCTCAGTGGAAGGATGGCTGTCAAGAAGCTGTTCTTAATGAAGAGAAATGGAGAAAAGGCTCAATTATGGCAAATTACATGCAGAAAAATGCATTTTAGAAAGTGTCTGATTGCTACAGCATCGTTTTTCAGCCCGTCAATGATCCCAAACACACTACCATTGCAGGAAAAGCAAACCTGTACAGAAAAACAAACAATGAAACACTATCAGTCATGGATTGGCCTCAACATTATTGAAGCAGTGCAGGAACATCTTGACAGAACAAAACAAAAGGCAGCCAATATCCAAAGAAGAACTTTGAATGTCCTTCAAGAAGCCTGGAGAACTATTCCTGAAGACTACTTAAATTAATTACAAGAAAGCTGCCTGTGTTGAAGAATAAAGGTGATCATAACAAATATTGATTTTAACCCTTGTTAGAATTCTGTTGTTGCCTTTCCATTTATATTTGCAAATTCAAATAAATTGCATAAACTTTCCATTTTCCTGCCAAAATAGAAAGAAACAAAAGGTGGTTGGAGACTTTTGCACAGTACTGTCTACTACATACAATTTATGAAGGGTTGGGCATGAGTCATGGAGCAGTCAAGGAAAACACTGACTAAAATGTGCACAAGCCCTGTATGAAATAAGTTCAGCAACATTTAATGATGGGACTAATGAACCACTCACTGACTGTGTTTAAATATCAGAGCCTCAAGTCGGTGTGAAAGTGCAGTGAGTGCAACTGAAACAAATCTCGTCATCTCTCGTCTGCGTTTAATGGAAGCGACTGCCCTCTGCTGGCTAATTGTTGTCATTACCAGCCTTCTTCTAAAGCATGCCTACGGATTCCAGCAGTTCATGAGCGCAATATGGGGCCCTAAATTAATTCTTTAACATCAATTTAAATCAAGTAACAAATTGCTTCATTTATACTCTTCTTCATCTTCAGTTTGTTGTCAATGTTGCAGATTGTGTTGATTCCAGGAAAAAAAAAAAGAAAAAACGAAAAAGGACAGCCAACTACTGCTAGCTGAGCTCAGCCGTTTATCAGCCAGCAAATAAACATGGCTTCAGCAGACTGCCTCCATATGGCTCCATGCAGGAGAGCCTCCCCTCACTTTCTGATCAGTCAGCAGAGAATCAATGTGCTCCTAACAGAAAATATTGTCCTCCATCAGTCATCCACGTTGTTCACCACATGTGGCCTCGATTCAGGCACACCAACAGCATCTTCGCGCTGACCTCCGCCCTCTGTAGAACATCGTGCTACCACAGGAGCTCCATGTCTACTCAGTTTGTTTGCAATACTGAACATTTCTTTGGACAAACAACAGCAGAACAATGGTACAGTATGTACAAAAAGGATCATAGCAGTCAAAGATCTCAGCCAACAGCTATGTTTCCTGGTACCTGGTTAAAATAAAACAAGGAGCAAGCATGAGACAGAGAGCAGTGGTGGGGCATGTACTAATCTTTTAATAAAGTAAAGTGGCAATCTTACTACATGAAAATGCAAATGAAACTCCCATGTGCTTGAAATGGTATGTAATAAAAAAATACTGAAAATGTAAAAACAAAGTCTTTAACTGCTTCAGGTTGACTCTAATTATAGATGCAAGCCGGTTAAAGTGGAGATAATTTGAACTTAAAATGCGAGGTAGCTCAGCATCTAATTATGCCTCGTACGGCGTAATGACATGTTTTCCATGAACAAATCGACATCTAAACACAGCCTCACAAAATCAGAGCAAAAATAAAAAAGCTGAATATTTTCCTCTAAAACTAGAGGACAGTATCGATACATTTTGAGCATTTTGCCCATGTAACTTATTACATCCATTCCCATTACTAAAACAATTTAACTACAATGAGATTCAGGCGTATTTTCCAGCCTGTTGCAAAGCATCATTTCACTGCCTACAGTTCAAAATGCATAATCCCGAGTGGGTGTGATTCTCCTTGGAAGCCTATTCTTTTCCTTGTGTTATTGTTAAGAACCAGTAAAACTGGTCTCCAAAAAAAAAAGTCTCCAAAAACCGGTTTGAGACACCTCCCCCCCCCCCCCGTTCCTCAACAGATTTCTTTTTGTGGCTTCCCCTTTGCGTGCATGTGCATGTGTCAACTCACTCTCTGTGATGTGAAGACCAGTCAGTCAAAGCTCCCAAAGAGTTCAGCTGCTCCTGCAGCGCTAAAATCCTTAGCCCGATGTATCCGGACACCAACAGGAGCAACACCAGCCTACAAACACCCACAGTAAAGTCTTGAATGTGTGTTGTGCAGGAAGAACTACAGCCTGAGAGTCTAGGATGAGTACATGTTGTACAGGACTAACAGCAGGATATCAGAGACTTGGATCTGTGTGCAGCCTTGATAACATTTCCGCAACCAAGGTTTAGATATTTGTCTTTCCTGGAGAGTTTGCAGCCATTCCAGTAAATCAGTATGAGAAAAAAAAGCATGCCAAGATCCAGTAGATGTGTGAGTGCTTTTGCAGTTTTATACCTCAAAAATATGAATTTTGGTCTGCTGAAAAATTCTACATAAAGCAATAGCTCATGGTCCTTTTTTCCCTTCAAACCTTCAGTGTTTTAGGATGTACAGTCAGTTTCAGTCAAACTCACAGCTGTGACTAGAATCGTGTTGTCATGGACCTTGGGTTTTGTGTTTTTATGTGATTTCTTCTGATTTGAGAAGTGATTCATGTTTAATTATTTATAGTTTCCTGCTTTTACCCCCTGAAAGTTGATTCTGTTCATCTGGACGTAACGTTTTCAGTGGGAGAAACGTTTCGTCACTCATCCAAGTGACGTCTACAGTCTCTGCTGACTGCAGGTTTCCCCAACCCCAACCACTGATCAAAGACCTTGAGCAGTGGTTGCTGATCAGTGGTCATGACAATTTGCATATTAATGATCAAGAAGCTGACCTCACAGCCTAATGTTCCTTCAGTGGTGCTAGTTTCAGTCATTGTGCAAATGTACTGTTTATAAGATTGGGGAAACCTGCTGAGAGTACAGAAGTCACTTGGATGAGCGACGAAATGTTTCTCCCACCAAAAATGTTACGTCCAGATGAACAGAATCAACTTTTTTTGGATTTCCTTACCTGGATGATTGAGCATGCATCAAGAAAACTTTTCCCTTTAGTTCCTAGTTGACCTAGATGACCTAGATGGCCTTGGACTAATTAGTTCCTTTTTTGTGTTCCCATCCTGTTCCTTCAGTCTTGTCTGTATGTTTGTCTTTTTGTTTCACTTTAATCTGATCTCCCTGTACAGTTTTGTCTCTTGTTTCCTGTTGTATTTTGCTCATCTTATTTCTCTGTGTCATGTTTCACGTTTTACTTCCTTTGTCTTGTTTTCTTGATTAGTTTCAGCTGCCCTCCCACCTGTTTCCGCTCCCCTCATTATTATAGTTAACTAAATATAGAGGAAATATCCTGGGTTTTATTATCTGTTAGTTCGGTAAAAATTTTAATACGGCTTTCCTGATGAGACGTTGATTGATGCCTTTATTGAGACAAGACCGTGAGGGAATTGCTTTTAAAACGTTCCGTGTCTTTATTGTAATACCTGCACTGATTTTCCTAAATCTCGCCTCTGACATATGTCACTCATACAAGATAAAACTAAGACTGAAATGGATAAAAACTACACTAAGGGTAAACATTTAAAAAGAATAAAAGAAATAACTGAAAGGTGAAAATCTACGCTGGAAACTAAACTGAAATAAAAACAAAAAGTCAAAATCAAAGAAAAATAAAAGCTAATTAGAAAATGTGAACTTATAATAACTCTGGTCGGAGTCCCTGGATGTTGTGTTCCCTTACCCTGTGTTGTCCCTAAAGATCTTTTTGCACTCTTGTGTATTACCAGCGATAAAGCCGATTTTTGAATTTATTCTTGTTTCCCTGAGTCCTGCGTTCAGGTCCACAATCTGCCTTCCACATAGCTGGTCTATAACACAGAAGCTGGGTGAAGGCGCCGTGTTTAAATTTCTAATCTCCTTCCACATCGTTACTGCTGAGATGACCCTAATGGTACATCATGTTTTCTTCCTTCTACAAAGAAACTGCTCACTACAGATTTCAAGCAGCATTTATCTATGAATCTGAAAACTATACTCACAGCACCATGTAGATGTGGAAGACAACACTGAGAGTCTTAAGTTCTGGCAGTTGTGCAATGAACCTCCAAATCCACAGTCCAGCTGACATAGACCAAAAGAACAAATAAAAAAAATTAATACTTGTTCTACAATCACACGACTCTGTATGGCCGCAACATGTGTGTGTTTGTATTTGAATACACACCTCTGTCTTCTTCATCTATTATGCTGTTTTGACGAGTGGAGTTGGCTGTGCTGGGGCCTGAAAAGACATTAAGACAAGTAAGCTCAGCAATTAAACCCCTTAATGTAATTTTTTCAAATAGAAAAGTGAACTTTAACAGTTAAAGTCAAAACCATTAAGCGGTGATGATCACCCATCAGTGCTCTTTAGTGTCTTTCCTTTACCTTCACTGGACGTCTGAAGAAAGCTGGTATCAAGAGAGTCACTGCTCGGAAAATCTACACGGTCGTCCAAACTGGAAAAACTGGAGAATTGCTGATAAAGAGAGAGATGCCATAAGATAATTTATCACTATGCAGTATTGCAAGATAGTCGCTAAGCTGCTACAAGATTCCTGCAGTTGCTGAGCGTCAAACCTACCGGATTGTGAGCTTCGTTCTCTGCAACGGCCGGATGAGGGCTGCTGTTTACAGCCTCCGCCTGTTCGAAACAAATGAAAAACAAGTTCAGAAAAAAACAACAGCTCGTGTTAGCCTGAGAAATGATGCCTGCACCTGCATGTGTGTCCGGGGAGCAGCAGCAGTACCTGCGCATATGAGCACACACTTTGGAGGAGTTTGTAACACTTCTCACGGTTTCTCAAAGACACAAACGAGTACTGAGGGAGAGAAAACAAACAAGCAGAGGAAAGGCTTAAATCTCAGTGTTTCCCCGGAAAGTTAATCTGCAATGTTAGCTCGACAAGCTGTCAGGCTCACTGCAGGAGGCCCGATCACAGTTAACACACTGTCCATCATTTCCTTTTACCAGCTGCTAAACCATTTGTGTCAAGTCAAGAATGAACACTTATTTTTGGAGATCTCGTCATTTGTAAATAAATGAATGCTACCAGATTGTTTACAGTCGATGCTACATTGTGCTGCTGGTTTCTAAATGAATTTTGCGCGTACACAGTAGACAAAGTAAAACACATATTAAGGAACACATAATACACATTATAAAAGGTAAAAACTACACAACAAGCAGTCTGAGAAAACAAATGTCCACCAAGGCAGCTCACTCACTGAGCAGCGTTTACTTTTAAGGGAATAATATAGATTTTTCTGTACATTCATCTTGTTTTCTTTGTTCTTTTTAAACATACTTTAAGAATTTTGTAGTGCAGACTTCTGTTAATTGGCCTGTTTCAACCTATTTTAATTATTTTCATTGTTTTTTATTTATTTATTTGGAAACACTACATGTGTAATATTTGTTTTATTGTTTAGTAAAATTCATTTACCCATTAATTACCAAATATAAAGTGAAAAAAGTTTTGCATTTAAACGGTTATAACCTGTTATTCTAATGTACGTAAGAAAGTCATAATAAAATTATGTCCTTGGTGGATGTAAGCCAAATTTTAAATGACTGTTAGCATGACCTCAGTCTACACCTCTACAGAGTTTGATCAGAATTAATTCAGAATTTTTTGAGCTATCGTGTTTACAGACAGAATGACATGCACGCATGCAAAATGCTAACACAAGCATAGCCTGTGTGGTGGAGGTAACCAAAACCTCCCGATCATCCATGCTTACACGAATCAACTTAGCTGAACTCAAAAGTATCCAGTTAAAAAATTATGTTTTCAGTTTTTTGAGGTCCTGCGATAAACTGGCGACCTGCTTGAGGTGTACCCCGCCTCTCGCCCTGTGGTAGTTGGGCAACCCTGATAAGGATAAGTGGAAGAAAAGGGGTGGATGGAGTTCTTTGAGTTGTAGGTAAGAAGTTCAACAATAAAGAAAGGTTTCTGCTTTCACAACTATAATTCCCTTTAGATGTAAACTTCGTCATTGAGGCCAGAAACCCTGAGAGGGTTCCCCGTGATACTGAGCACCAAAGCAGCCAGCTTATTAGAGAGCAACTTAGGTTTCTGATAGCTTTTGATTTAAATACTTAACCGCAGAACTACACTTTACATCTGTAATGCAAAGACTCAACTGCTACTTTTAAAGGTGTGTGCTGACCTTCTCTTCAGCAGTCTGTATAGAAAGCATAGACAGTGCTGAGCCATGTTTCTTCACATCCTTTATGCTGGAAACAGGAATCACCACCTGCAATGTATGAATGGTAATGAGTGTGGTTTTCTTTAGAAACTTACAGAGCTCATTACAGTAAAATGACATGCCAAACGTTCACAAAGTGAAACAAGCAGAAACAAACCCCAGAGAAAGTTGCTGTGTCGTTCTCTCTTCAGGTATGATAAATGCTAAAAATCCAAGTGAAATACCAGGATTCGGACTAGTAATGCTGACTGCTCCTCTGTATCTTTATCTAGAAAATCCAAATGATCTCCCTTTGATTGTAATTTTGCAGCTGGGAAAGTCCAAGTACTGCAGCTCCTGCCATCACATTTCAGTGTGTGGCGTAAGTTTGGCTTACCTTGGTGTCTTTGAGCAGCACAGATGAGTAGAAACACACATGGTTCTGAGAAACAAAGAGTTTTCCGTGATACAGCACTTCCTTCTGCAGGGAACACGTGAAAGCTGCAACAGATACACACAGTTCGAAGGCATTAGGTCACTGTTTCTAAGGTGATACCCACACAACACCAGAGCCATGACTGCTGAAACATTTACTGAAGCGTTTCGGCCGTGCAGTCACCCCAGACCGCTTGGAAAACAAAGCATTAAGTGGCACTTCATCTGGCAGCAAAGACATCGGGGACACTCTGCGAAGCCATTTCCATAATCAATATTCGCAAATGAGTTACAACCTCTGGACCTCAGCTCAGCTCACCGTGTGCCAGGCTGTCCCACACAGGAATCTCTGGAAACAGCTTGTTGAAGCTTTTATTGTGCTTGAAGTACTGCAGGGAATAAAGAAACAAAAAGTTTTCCATTCAGACTTGTTTCAGATACAGAAGAAGAAGAATCAGGTTTGTTAACTGACTTCGAGACCTGCACTCAGCATCAGTATACTAACTTTTGAGCTGCCAAGCTTGTCATCAAACATTTACTTATTTAAACCCTCCAGCAGTTAGAATTTGCTTAGTCTCTGGATACCTGGTAAATGGCCAATAACCAGCCTGCATTGAACTCTAGTTTAGATCACTCGTGGCTCTAAATTGTCTACTTCCTCATTCATGTAGTTGATAACCATGTGTATCTGATGTTACATTGTAAAGCTTTCCCACCTGGGGTGTCCGAAAATGCTACGAGAAACTAGCTTGAAACTCAGCCCTGAAGCAAGAAGATAAATAACAACCTAAAGGTAACCACAAAGCCCCTTAAATCCAAGTAGAGCGTCATATTCAGGTAGGTTTCTTGCATTCACTTTGTCACATTGCTTTCATGTTGGAACATAATGCATTGCCACTGTGAAAACATGATTCCTGTGCTGTGAATAAAAGGGAACGAGAAGGAGCAGGGTAAAGGGAAGCAGGCTTACGTGATCATCTGATCGCTGAAGATTCTCCTCTGCTATGGTCTGCTCTCTGATGACACAAAGGCACAATAGTAACACAAATGAGATAAGGATGTTTTCAGGGAGATATCTGACAGTCTGTGCAGCTTTAACATTTTAAACCATCCAATACTTAGTAAATACCCCCCAACCCTGTGTAGTGATGAAGGAAGACTCTACCTCAGGGCCATGTTGGAGTCAAGGCTGTGATTTAGTTGGCCCTCCAGTTGTACTGCGTCCAGCATCGTGCTCTGTTTATTTTTCTTTGTACTAGATCTAAAACTGCTTCTTCTCGTGCCAAAAATATCACTTCCTTCCACGATACTGTCCCAAGAGACCAGGATATAAATGTCAGACTGATGATCCAGCTTTTATATCACCCACAGACACACGCTATCAATATAGAACACCAAAAAGGTAATGAAATCACAGCAAAATAGAAATTAATGCATTTCTCCCTGATGGATGGGTGCCAGCTCCTGCGTGGCGATAGGGAAACTGTTACAATCTTCAGCTATTTTGTTTGCATCAGTCACAGAATGACTTTTCACAACGATGAATGGAGCTCATCAACAGGTACAAGAAAGATCTGTTCGCCATCAAAGCACTCTTGAACATTAACAAGGTACAAGAAAATAATATGCTGTTCCAACACTGTCTTCCAAGTCCTTGAGCAGCCTTTCAAGCACCAGCTGTGCCAACTTTCTGACTGTCTGCCTCGCAGACCGGTGGTTAGTCTGCTGTCTCTGGGCAACTGACTTGGCTCTCCGGAGGATGGTTTTACTTTTGCAAAAGCAGCCGCCACAAAGCCCGAGCACAATGAAAAACTGTACTCTACAGCTGGTATTTAGAGTGGCTTTTTGTTTTTACACTGCACGCTTAAAAAGTCAATATCACTGTCAACAAATAAAACATGTACATTAGGCACAAAGGAGGAAATGTGATAAGATAAACACTCACCCAGAGCTGTCCAGTGAGAATTTCCTATTTTTCAGAGTCATGATGGAACATAAACAATTCCGGCTCACGCACACACAAAGTCATACACTCGAATACATAGTTAACTGTACAACTTCATGTCTGTAATCCACGTTTACTGGCTCTGTGCAGGGCTTTGCTTCTCTTGTATTTCCTGGAAATGACTCTAAATCACCAAGGGCCAGGTGAACACAGGTGAGAGAAAAAACAAAGGACAAAGACAGCCTCCTGACGGCTGCCTTTTAATGTTAACCAATTAGCTGTGAGAGGTGGAGCTTTGCATAACAAAACCAATCAGTGAAGGAAGGAGGAAAATGTACACTGATGCAGAGTTTGCTCCTCATAGGAAGATCTTTCTATGGGCGGCACTGTCTATGTTCACCCTTTGACTTAGAGACACACCTTCTAGACCCACACGCATCAGCACGCACAATGAGAAGGTATGCAGAGACAACCGTCATGAGATTTAGATATGACAGTAACATTGTTGTCTGTCATGCAAAACCTTCAGCCTGCATAGATTAATATCACATGGAAAGAATGACAGACACACAGCAGAGGATAGCGTGACATGACATATTTTTATGTAAATATTGCATCACTGTACAGACAGTAACTTAAAAAAGATACTGCCAACCGCCAGTGCTACCACTTTTGAAATCCTACGATGCTTACTTTTTGTGTTATTACATTTACAGGATTTTCCCAAAAAATGGACTTCTGAACTTTAGGACACTGAGATTCAAACTTGTCTGAGATTTTAGTAGATACGCCTATGGTATCAATTTGAAAATCTTACACCGCCACGTTCTCCAGTTATTGCATTCACAAGATTTTCTGAAAACCTGCCCTTTAACCTTAAGGCCAAGGTGTGCAAAGTGTCCAAAACTTGTCCAAGATTTTTGGTAAGAGAATTTTGAAAAATGTGAAAATCCTAGGTAACTTTCTTTTTGAATTATTGCATTCAGATGATTTTCAGAAAAGAGATTTAAAGATTTTTAGTCGATCCAGTCGATCCACCCATCGTATAAATACCGCAAAAATTTCCAGGCCTATCTACATTACATTATTGGCCTTACTTTTTTGTTTTTCTTTCTCAAACTCGATTCAAACATAATCTTCAGAAAGTCATGTCTCCTTTCCTATAACATACCTGCAGCTTAGGCAAAGTTAAGGAAAATCCATAATATGATCCAAAAAGGCCCAAAAAGCACAGCGTACTATATGTAACATGAAGAAATACTGTTTGATTTTCCGCAAAATTACACAGTGCTCAAAATGACTGTATTACTTTGTATAATTAGTGTCTCCTTTCCTGTAAAATACCCAGTTTAGATACAACTTAAAATTAGTTATGCACAACTTACTACGTAGCACTCATAATTCTTATTCTCATGTATATATCTCATGTATATCTCATGCACATATCTTTCTTTCTACATAGCACTCTAATTCTTATTGTTTGCACTGAAGCACCGCAGCAATTTCCTAATGTTGTAAACCTCAACATCTGGCAATAAACCCCATTCTGATTCTGATTCTGATTCTGATTCTGATTCTGATTAAATTTACTTACTGCATAATTATTTCCTTGTTTCTTGTAAAAATCTGACTTGTTCCAGTGTACCCACCTTTTAAATATAAGGTACATATAATTACCAGGGAGTTATACCAGGTAGTTAAATGGAAGACATGATTATAAAGTGTTACCAAATCATTTGGTCTTGAAGTAATGAAAAAGTAGAATTGCTGATGCTTGCTAACTTTTCTTTAAGAGTCTAAAAGAAAAAGCTCAACACTTTAATTAGTAATTTACAGCACAGGACTGTGGGTGATTTATGAATGTTGTTGCTGAAGGTGATTTAAAGACTGCAAAAGCTGAAGCTAGCGCCTTTTTCCTGTTGTACATGATTCATTTGCTGTGTGTTTAATTTATATCATTGTGTTTAGTTCATTAGTTACTGCATACTGTTCTTCCAATGGCACAGTTGATTTCACTGCACATTATCTAATAGGATGACAAATAATTTTTTGATAAAAGTTATTTTATACAGTTGTAAATGAAGTCCCTTTCTACCACCGTAACAGGTGACATTACACGTCTCCATTAATTTTCTTAATAGCATATCCAAGTTAGGGTGCAGGGGGTCCTGGGGCCAGAGGCAGACATATTGTATTTAAGTTGAATTTTCTTGAAATTAGCATTTATTTGAGTTTTATTTTTATAATAAATTAGTACTTTTACTCCCTACATTTTATCAGAAATGTCGGGTTCGTTTTTCCACAATAAATAAATAAATGCGAACAAATTATATATATGTATGTAAAAGAAGCAAGGTTGCAGGTAATTTTTCTAATAGCTCAGCAAATGTGGGCAAACACGCGACCTGTTTGTGTACAAAGGTGAAGTTAAAAGTAAAGGTTTCACTCCTGTAGTTCCCAGACAGAGAAAAGAATGTGAGATAAAATCACTCCAAGATACAGAAAGATATCAGAAAGACAAAAGAGGAAGATACGAGATTATTTTTTAAACGTACTGGTTTATCAAATCTACTCATTTAGATTTGATAAACCAGTAATTTCAGTTGTTTTTTTTGTACGGATATCGAAGCTACACAAGATTTGTTGCTGAAGTTATGTTGTTTATACGGTGAAACATCCTGCAAAACAAATTGAAGTATACTAACGTATTATTTTTTAAAGACTGCATGAAATTTGCAGGCACTTTAGCACAGGCGGAGGTATTGTGGCAAAGTTTACACTTATGCATTGTGTGAGACTTGTGCAGAGTGTCTGTGGTGTTCATGGTCAGAGTTAGGTTACGTTTAGATTCACTCACTGAATTCCACCTGTATATTAGCTTTATACTGTCTGGAGGCTAAAAATCAGCCATGTTAGCTCATGCAACATCTTTCTTTCTTTTTTAAATGAATGTTATTCAAAAAGGGGCTGTCAGTATTGCCATTTGATGCATTGTACCAGAGTTAGCTGATAGCTCATTTCCATGCATGATTACACGTACAATAGATCACCATAATAAAATATCATAAAAAAAAATCGGCTTTGATCACATTGGAAATTACTGTAGCTGTTTCTAACTGTTTTTCTCCACCTGCCAAACCCCACTTTAACCTCTGGGTCTATTCATTTTTCTATTTTAGCTTTGAAGGGAAGGTCACCCATCTACAATGCAGGCAACAGCAAAAATAGTTCCTTTTTTAAGTTTCTCTGCTTGTGTTCTACGCAACAGATGTTCAAGCTGGGTGCATTCATTAGAACTGGATCTAAGTTGCATTAATATTAATGTGACAGGAGGTTCAGATGGCTTGGCAAATAAATAAAGATAAACTTTTTCTTGTAAACTTTCAGTACTTCTTTACTTTGACTCGAGTGAACAAGTCAAATCAGTTTGACCATTTTTTAGAATTTTTAAGTCCATCTCACAGGGCTAATACCACACACACCTAAAGCCAATTTAAAATACCAAATTAAAGCAGCATGTCTCTGGAATATGGGACAAAAGTGGTGCAGACACAAAGAGAACTCACACAGAGAGGAGCCAAGCAGGAGGCTTCAGCTGCTGTTGGGAAATCGCACTAACCTCTGCACCCCGGTGCCATCTGCAGACCACCTTGCAAATTAATGAAATATTAGATTGTCAAAACAACTGTGCTCTTCTGCATCGCGGCATATTTTGATATGCGAGAGGGGGAAAGCACAGGTGTAAATAATGAAGCAATGTTTTCTTAATGAGATGTTGTAATGAAACAGAGCCACAACCTCTGAGGACTGAAACAAAAGTGTCTGCTCTGACAGAGGATCTTAGGAAATCTCTTTGTTTTTGTATACAAGTTCAAGAATGAAAATAAAGTTTATACAGTTGCATTTTCTAGTAATATGCAACACACTTTAGTATTTATTTCGCCCACTTATGTACTGCATGTACATGCAGAGTAATACTGCCTATTATGGAAGCAGTGAAGAAGTTCTTGCGGTAGAAGACTGTTTCTGTTATGAAGTATAAAATCAACTCAGGTTAAGGATCTTTGTTTGGTTTTCTTTTCCTTCCTCCTCCACTGAGCAGCCAGTTTGTTTTTTTGATGATCAGATTTTCCTTAGTGATAACTGCTATAAAAAGAAAGGTAATCAAAGAAATTGTGTAAACATAAAAGTTTTAATTTAACTGAGTGTTTTTTTTTAACCTGTACAGTTTATGAGTTTTTAAAATGTGCCGACAGAAAAACGCTATGTACAATTAATGTCAATCAGAGTGAAATTAAATTCAAGCATATGTGTTTAAATAATTCACATAATAGGAATTTTTCAGCCCTAACGCTGACACCATCACGGGTGCTTCACGCTGACTGCTGTGACTCGTCTGTAGGTGTGGAACCAACTGGGGCACAAAACCGTGTACAGGCAAATAATGTTGATTTTGTAACATACCTGACGTGTTTTAACACATCTCATTAAGGACGTGCACCAGCTTGGAGTCATGAAAGCGCATGTGAACGTGCCTTTCATGGACAGAACAATGCATTTCTTGACTTTCCCTTTCTGTTCCTCTGTGCAACATTTAACAGCAGTGAGGGGTTGGCTTTTAGAGAGATTTTGAAGAAATAGTAAGTTAACATTTGGCCCCGTCTGATAAGAAACAGTGTAAGATGCAGCAGCTGTTCATATCAGACCGATAACAGTCAGGAACAATGAGGATGGCAGGCAGATTTTTCAGATTTAGTCCAGACGTCAGACACGTGTAGAGCTCTGCCTAGGACAGGCAAGTTCGTGAGCATTAGTGAACAGCAGTTGATAATCTCTTTGTGCATGGCATGTGCTTTGAAAACAGACCCTATCACTAATCCGAGGAGCAACATTCCTGATGAAAGGAAAGTAGTCTGTCCAGTCCTGGTTTCCGTCATTATCTGCCATAAATTCTGGTTTGTTCAATCCATATTTTTGACGGGTGGCTTTAAATGGATGGGGTGAGGGATGAAAGACATTTTTGTAATGTGAAATTTTTTTACTTTTGACTATTTAGAAGAACTGGAGGTATCTTAAATATAATTTTTATGTTAAAAGTTTAATTTTAACTGAATAAAATTCCATTTAAAATACCTGAAATGGAGTTCTGTTCATTATTAGGCTGGTTTAAATTCCCAACAGACACATCAAAATCTCTATTTTTAACTATTTAATTGTTTGTGTTTAAATGGTCTTGTTACTGCACGTGA